TCTCTCTCTCTCTCTCTCTGTGGTGTGTGTGTGTGTGTGTGTGTGTGTGTGTGTGTGTGTGTGTATCTTCAATTGCCAGCTTCGTCAGTGCTTCGCTGGGCCCTCTACACTCCGCAAGTCGAATGCCGGCTCGACCTTTTACCCGTTCCTTGTTTGCTCCCTCCCTTCGACTATTCCGTATGGGTGTGTCTGTGTATTTGTTTGCTCCCTCCCTTCGCCTATTCAGTATTTTTGTGAAGTTGTGCACGGCAAACATGTCAACACACTCCTTATGAGCCCGTGAAAGTCTGATGAAACAGTTAGGAATAGTCATGCTATTTTCTTTGGGTAGTTCTGTATAGAGAACATGACCACAGACATCCACACACACACACACACACACACACACACACACACACACATACACACACGCGCTCGCGCGCGCTCTTAGCTGCTTTGGTATTGGTTCTACTCATCTGGGTGGATTAGGGGCTGTTGTGGTGAAAATCCAAAACACACGCCCAGTTCATATCCATGGCAGAGTAGGCGTACAGCATCTTTTATCTCCTTGACACTGTGGACAGACTAGTTTCTCACTGACAGACTTACTGCCTTCTTCTCAGGGCAGGGGTACGGACCGAAACACTGCTACGAATGATAGCATTGTCAGGTTAGTGCGAACAAATTAACATCAGATTCTCCTCCTTTCCTCAGGAGTATAGCTAACTCTGGGCGATGTTGTGAGTCCTCATCCATCAGTCAAATGGATCCTGGGCAGACAGTCAAGCGCAGTCACGCTTTATTTTCGAGTTGTGTATAGCCAACATGACAACACAGGCAATAAATCAAGGGTTAATTTCAAAAATATTGCTGTTTCAAAGTTTGGCAACAAAAATGTCATCCGTTCTAAGTTTCCTTTGTCAGCTTTACGGGGTTCCGGTAGTTTGCCAGCAAAAATACCGCGTTTTGCCCAGTTTCACAGCAAAGGACCCCTAGGCCCCTGGCCTCAGGGACTCAGGGACTCAGCGTTCTGGCCTGAGGCACTCAGTTTTCCTTTTTTTTCCCGCGGGCGTGGCCGAGGCAAATCGGCTGTGGCCACGCCGAGATGCCTCAGCCGCGTTTCTTTTTTTTTTTTTTTTTTTTTTTTTTTCCGCGGCCGTGGCCGAGGCATCTCAGCCGTGGGAATGCCCAGATGCGTCGGGCATGCCCCGAAAATAAATAAATAAATAAATAAATACATAAATAAATAAATAAATAAAAAACGCTCAGTGCCTCAGGCCAGAACGCTGAGTCCCTGAGTCCCTGAGGCCATAGGCCTAGGGGTCCTTCGCCGTGAAACTGGGCAAAACACGGTATTTTTGCTGGCAAACTATGGGAACGTGATAAAGCTGCAACGGAACCTCTATTTTTGCGAAGGAAACTTCGAACGGACGACATTTTTGCTGCCAAACTTCGAAACAGCAATATTTTTACTATTAACCCATAAATGATACTATTCATTTTACCGCTTGCTTCCATTCCAAGTACGTTTTTCGGTTCTGCTCTTTGGGTTGCGCCTTTTTCCGTCCTCTCCTGTCTTTGTTTAGAACCTTTCAGATGTGCTGTACCTTAGTGTTATGATTGTGTGCAGTACTGTTAGGGCGCTTGCTGCGTTTGGGATGCCTGGCTGTCCGTTGTTCCTTAATGAGGAAAGATATCCATTAAAGCGACTCGCTGACTCCAATGGTGGTGTTAGTCTAAGTCAACAGAGCTGTACCCGCGGTGTGACTTGGCGATGGTTAACTTTGGTCTTTGTTAGTTGTGTGAACTGCCTGGTCGGTGTTGCCCTTCTGCCTGGGTGCCCATTTGTTCCTGTCTTACCTTTCCATGCTGCCAACCTATTTGCCCTGTGCCACTCTGCTGCTTGCTTTGCTGTTCTCATACCCTGAGTTTGCCTTGCGGTTTGCCTGTTTGCCTCGTTTTCCTTGCGGCGAGCCTGTTCCCCCTGTGCGGCCTCGCCATGCTGCTGTTCGACTTTGCTGTTGGCCTTCCCATGTGCGCCGCTGCTACTGCTGCGGCAGTGCCCACCATCTGTCTGCTCACTGGCCTTGTTGCCTTGCTGCATGCAATGTTCGTCTCCCCAGCATGTGCTTTGCTGTTGCCCGGATAGCTGGCTGGCTACCTACCCTACCTGCTTGCCTTCTTGCTCCCTTGCAACTTGACTTTGCTGATTGCGTGTTCCCTAGGGCCTGCTTGCACTGCAGCCATCTCTCCCTTGCCGCTTGGGTTGTCACCTGCCTGGCTTTCCACGTGCAGCAGCTTTTGAACTGGCTTACGGGTTAAAGCATCATTATCTGGATCCTACAGACTGTGAAGGGTTCAGCCTCCTAGGCTCCTACCCTACCAGCTTGCCTTCTTGCTCCCTTGCTACTTGACTTTGCTCATTGCCTGTCCTCTTGCTTGCCCGCCCACCATCCCTCTGATGTTTGGCTGTCCACCCTGCTTACCTTCTTGTTCCCATGCTACTTGACTTTGCTCATTGCCTGTCCCCTATGTGGCACCCTCCGTGGCCTAGGCCGCGACCGAGGAGGCCGGTTCCGACCCCATGACCGAGTTTCCGTGCAGTTGTGCACCGCCTGCGCAGTTCGGCCCCCTACCCCCCGCCAAACAAAAAAAAAAAGAATTAAAATGAGGGGGGAGTTAATATGTCCGGTTTAGAGGGGTGTTAGAAAAAATAGTAATCCCCCAAAAGAAGATTGCAATCAGACTCGTCTTCTTCTTACTCAGCATGCATGAAAACAGATGGCAATCACACTGGCGACGACCGCCCACACTAACCTCAGAGATATAGTGGGGATTAGTGGCCAAGAACACAGTTCAGATTCAACTTGCTAAGAATGGCTATGGTGCCTGTGCGCCCTTACAACACCCTTACACGCTGTATCCTCAGCACTGTTCACACGCATGCTACTCTGGATCTCCCTGGATATCCCACACACGCACACAACTCACTGCACACTCACTCGCACACACGCTGTAGACTACCTCTAACCTATAGCAGCTATGGCTGCGTTCTACCTCTTCCACTAACTCGAGGCTATGGCCGCTTCGTCGCTCTTCAGCCCACTTCTTCCTCGGGCACCTGCAGACCTCCTTGCACAAGTCGCTTAGGCAGCGCTTCCGCACAGCTCACAGTTTGAATGAATGAATAACTGGACGCTGCCTCTTCATTTATACATCAGTTGCTCTCTTCCTGAAACCGGAATATGTGCGCGGTCGCCCTAACTCTTGCTGACGGCGATTTTGTCCGTCCACATTCTGCGCATGTAGCACCCCTACCCGCTTGCCGCCTTGCTCGATTGTCTTGCATTTTTGGGGAAAAAAAAATTCATGCCTGCCTCCCCGCAACTCCTCTTGCAACTCCATATTCTTTTATCTTCACCCTGGCAACTGGTGGCATGAATGATCACCTTGCACACAAACCAATCGCTTTAACTACAGAAAACCCTGCTTCGACAAGTTCGGATCCTGATGAACTTAGAAGATCGTGCTACGTCGGATCCTCTACTTCAAACGCCCGCATTTAGGCGCTACCCGTTTCTAATGAAACTTGTGACGCGCTAACCTCACGCCCTGTGCTGTCTTTCGTTCGGAGTGTTAGCTGTGCGGAAAAGAGGCCCAGAAAAACAGCAAGATGGGGTGTGCCAAGGATTTTTGGAAACAGAGTGTGGGGGCACAGACGGAACTGAAATCCCCCGTGTTGATCCAATGGAGCAAGTCGATCGTTTTCGCGCGTCACA